TTTCTTTTTGTTAGGACCCACTTTCGGGCACCTCAAAAAGTACCATTTCTGGGACCCCAAAGAGACCCAAGGGCTCTCCCTAGGAGATTTCGGACCTTTTAATGAGATACCTGGACTCTTAGGGTAGGCAGGCTCAGAGCAAGTTCTGGCACATGCTGGTTCGAGATTTCTACGACCAGGGGTACAACCTAACACCTGAGTTTGAAGAGAAATCTTGCTCTGCACTACGGTCGATCATATAAATCCTGCATTAACCGTAAAAAGGAATATACCATAGTTCCCAGAGTTTCCGGTCCTTAAGGTAATGCAGGAATTATATCATCAACAGTATCAGCGGCAATCCTTCAGAGTTAGTATCCGTTTAAGGCGGTAACACGGGCGCTGGCTTAGTTTCCGTGTTTTGTTAGGTTTCTTTTGCTTCTGGCGTCGTGCAGGTAAACTACCCTAAACCCTAAACCCTAAACCTTAAACCCTAAAAAAGTTATACAGGTTACCCCTAAACCCTAAACCCCTAACCCTAGAGTTTACGGTTTAGCGTACATTATAAGGCCTCGGGCCCTTCTATCGGCGCGGTTTCCCGTCTGAGTTGTCCCCAAGCCCGCGACTGTGGGGCTGGCAGCTTGCTCCTACCTGGACCCCAAATGACCCTACGTGTTTAAGGAAATATATTAAAAGAAATCATACTTAAGGCCCTAAGAAGGAAGGTTTTATAAGGTCCAGGTAGGTTCTGAGCAGGCTGGCTCTGGGTTTAAGGCCTTGTCGGACCAACTATCTACTGTATAAAGCTCTTCTGGCTGCTTTTAAGGTCATGCTCGAAAGATTCGAAATCGCGCCACAAATGCCATACAGATGCAGCCAGGACTCTGTCAACCCACTTGATGATGGATGCCAGCAAGTGAAAGGGAATCATGCTCTCCGGCAGAGATCGGACGACATTCACAGTCTCCTGAGTGGTTCTTAAATGGCTTTGTGTGACTAACCAATACAAAGATGCGCCAGTAAAGCACACTACCTACATATTTACCAAGGTCTTCTGGTTAAACTTTATTTGTCTGTGGTACCCATACAGCAGAGCCCTAAGAGTGGTTCTCGGGGTTTCGGCCCTTCTTGGATTCCAGGCTCCGGCTGCCTGGAAGCAAGCAAGCCATAAAAACTTAACAGCCGTGTATAGTACGGTTGATGATGTGCATCCTGCATTACCCATGTAATAAGGTAAATCCTGCATTACTCATAATAAGGAATATACCATAATTCCCATAGTTTAGGGTCCTTAAGGTAATGCAGGGTTTATATCATCAGCAGTATGTTGGGGCCGAATTCCATAATGGCAAAATACAGTATACATGGTCTCTTTCGGGATCGGATTGTTTATATCATCAGCAGTATGTTGGGGCATAATTCCATAATGGCAAAATTCAGTATACATGGTCTCTTTCGGGATCGGATTGTTAATATACCATAATTCCCATAGTTTAGGGTCCTTATGAGGTAATGCAGGGTTTATATCATCAGCAGTGGTGTCTATATACTTGGCACCCCGAAGATGCTTTTCCTCAAACACTCGTGGGACTTTGGAACCCGGACGCAAGGCTTCCCCCGAGTAATATAGGGACCTTAATCATTAAAATAGGGGTTTGGGGCCCAGTATACTATAATCAGAATCAGGAGCCCCCAGAATAGTAGTGGTAATTACCTATTGCTGGGATTCGAAGCCATGCCAGGGCTTTCCTGGTTGGCCTTAGAGATCCGCAGCCGCGTGTTCGATTGCCATTTGGATCATCGAGGTAGGTCATCAATGATCAAAGCTCAGGCTTGCTCGTAGTTCCTACCCTGAACCCAGTATTGAGAAAGTCGTGCTCAAAACCCCGCAAACTCACACCAAAAACAGGCCCCCCTGGCCCCGCAATCCCTTCCGTACATCTCAACCCTAACCCAACATTGAAGGCTTCCGAAAGCACCCATCTCCGATGTTAGCCAAGCAGCAGGGCGAAATTGACCAAGTTGATCCACGAAGCCCCTGAACCAACTCGTACAACAGGGGATAAATACATACATACATAAATAAATAAATAATTAAATAAATAAATAAATAAATATATATATATATATGTATACATACACACACAGACCCATTGTAGACGCCTTGCATATACATATACATATGCATATACGTAAACCTATACATATACACACACATACATATACGTGTGCATGTACATGTACATGTGCATGTACATATAGATATATACATACACACCATCTACATCTGCACATATACATATATGCATGCACATGCGCACATACACATAAAGATACATATGCATGTGCAATTGCATATACATATAGTCTGTAGACAGAGACACACTCAAACATTTAGTGCCAGAGCTTTTGCTGGGGTCAGGGACGAGGATTCTGGAATTATTCCAGGTACCATCGACATCTGCTGATTGCGAGTGCGCAAGTTCAAAAACCCTCAACCCTACACCCCTAGAACTGGAAAATGGTTGAAAGCCGTAAGCCCCCTTATGAACCCGCAACATTCGTCTTTAGATCCTTGGAAAACCTCACAACCCTTAACGCCCGAAACCAACCTGAAACACAAGCCCAGGGATCTTGACCCTAAAAGGGTTTAGGGTTCATAAGCCATTCGGGGATTCATAGCATAAGGGCATAGGGCCCCTACTTTTAAGGGTCATTTCGTCCTTCAGGGAGTAGAGATTTGGGGGCTTCCGAAGATAGGGGACCCTAACATAGTACCCTAAATACTGGGATCGTTTTTCTAAAGACCCCAAATTCAGGTATCCCTTATTTTCGAAAATTCCCATTTGGGTTTCGGGCTTGGCGAGCTAAGGGCTTTAGGGTTGGGAATTCCGGGGCTTAGGACTAGGATGAAAGGATTGGGTGCCTAAACCCTAAACCCTAAACCCTAAACCCTAAACCCGTGGAGGGTGTTAGGGAACTCTTCGGTTTTAAGGGCCCGCTAGGGTTTTAACGTTCATGGCTTCGGCCTAAAAACCGAAATCAACCCCAAAAGGGTTTAGGGTTTAGGGTTTAGGGTTTAGGGTTCATAAGCCATATAGGGATTCATACTATAAGCGTAGAGAACCCCTGTTGTTAAGGGTCATTTCGTCCTTAAGGGGATTTTGTACGCGTGGGTTCCAGGGTTCAGGGTGCGACGTAACCCAGAACCTGGAAAGTGACTTTGGGATCCGCTGACTAGTTCCTTAAGGACGAAATGACCCCTAAAAGGGTTTAGGGCTCCTAAACCATATAGGGTTTAGGGTTTAGGTTTAAGGTCATAGGCCCCATGGTAGTTCCCTTTTTGGGATTACCCTATAGGATTCTAAGTCTGAACCCCCCAAAAAGGAACGACTATGGGGCGTATGGGTAGTTCAGATATGTCGAAACATTCGAAAACGAGGCCTTTCCATGTCGGCTAGCACGGGATCTGTGTGCGCTGACTTTGCACGGAATTTATCACACCAGGCGCGTGATGCAAAGGAGGGCGTCAGCAGCTGCTGCAATCGTGCATACAGCTCCTCCTGAACACAACTTCAAAGGCAGAATCTCCACCCTAAACCCTAAACCCTAAACCCTAAATCCTAAACCCTAAACCCTAAACCCTAAACCCTAAACCCTAAACCCCCCTAAACCCTAAACCTGCCTAGAGGACTCTGGCAGAGCACGACCGCGACTTCGCAGCGAAAAGTGCCAGGAGCGGCTCCATGCCGTAGACCGCGTATAGGGATTTAGGGTTCAGGATTTAGGGTTTAGGGTTTAGGGTTCAGGGATTTAGGGTTTAGGGCCTTAGGGCCTTTAGGGTTTTGGGGATTTCGGTTTCTGGGTCGTAGGGAGCATGCCCTTTTCAGAGAACCCAATACCCCTTAACTAAGGAATATACCTTAAATTATAGGGGGGGGGCCTTAGTATTATCATTTAAGGTATATTCCTTAATTAAGGGGTATTGGGCTGCCCTCTGCCTTAAGGACGAAATGAACCCCAAAAGGGTTTAGGGTTCATAAACCATAGGGTTTAGGGTTTAGGGTCTAGGGTTTAGGGTTTAGGGTTCAGGGGTTTAGGGGTTTAGGGGTTTAGGGGTCTAGGGGTCTGGGGGTTTAGGGTTTA